GGGGTGTTCTCGTCGTGTTTCAGTTTTGAGTTTTGAATTCGTTTTGTGTTTTAAGTGACTGTTTTGAAATTTCTGAAAATGCGTTCTTTTTGTCATTCTGAAAAACTGTTTTTCAAAATAGAAAACTTGAAAACGCGTTTACTTTGAAATTTTGAGAATCTTTTTTTCTAATATTTTATTCAATAAATCTGATTATTCAATAAATTTTAATATTGCTAAAATTCTCTCGTCTAATTCAAAGGTTTGTCTTATTTCTGTGTCCAGAACAAAAATAAAAAATAAAAAAATGCATATGTTATTTTCATCACATTCTTCATACAAAGATAACGAATTTTTCGAACTATTTAATTTCAGACAAGGAAACCATGTTTCACTCTTATGTGCAACTTAAACTAAAAAAATGGTAACATAACAAGCATTTTTTTTTGGATAGAAAGAAATCTCTAGATATAATTTTAATGATTTTCTTCACATTATTAGCTCATATTTCATCATCACCACGAATTACACAAACGAAATTTAACAAGATGCTGTATTCAAATGTACCAAATTTAGTGTATTCAATTTCTATACCATCCTGTCTATTCACATAACTAGCCTTCTACATCAACATAAGCACCATAAAAAACATATGGAACAAATTCATAAGAAATGGCGAACACTAGCCTTCTACATCAACATAAGCACCATAAAAAACATATGGAACAAATTCATAAGAAATGGCACTTACTCCCCTGTGCTTATCCAATAAGAAAGCCACAGTCAAGGGCGACCCAATTCCCGTAGAGCCATTATGCGAATCTGTAACACCATATAGCTCCAACACTCAGCTTCTACTCACATTAACAATTCTGTTAAGCTAGTAAATCATAGAAGAAACCCAGAAGGCCATCCTTAATGGCAGAAATTGCACCAACATAGTCTGTATTGCAACCAACCAACTTCCCATCAGGATGCCTGACGATGCAATTAACCGCCCCTATCGACTGATCCCAAAAACAAAACACAAGCGAAGAGTCCCTTCATGACATGATTGTTGATGGTATAGGTGCACTACAATACGACACTATGACCAATTACCTTTGCAACAGGATCAACTTCATCACAACATGCAAGTGCTGCTTCCTTGTGAGGAATGGTGACACTGTAGGATTTAATCTCCACATTTAGTAAATGAAAATGATTTTTTTTTTCTTTTGTCGATGTGCCATAAAGCTATACATGAGAGGAGCATCAGACACAATGGAGGACATGATAAAAGTGTTTAAAAACAGCAAAAGGAAGAAAAAAAATATCAAGGAAATTGATTCGACGAGACTATAGAGGAATACATCCTAAAATATAGCTTATATAAGTTATATGAGGCAAGGCTGCAGCTAGACTACCATAGGAAAGCCCACAACCAACACAAAAACTCATTCGAGAATAATAAATCATTTTTATTGGTCAATCAGTACGCAAATAGAGATGGGTACTGATACAAACGTTCCAAAAGTAAAAGAAAACTTTTGCTGCGCAGCTTGACATAGAAAACTGACACCTAAATAACATTAACCAATAAGTAATGTCAGATACAATACTCAATAACATAAA